GGAGTTCCTGTTCTGATCCTAGCTATGCAGCTTGCTTGCTAATCAACCTTTGGCAGTCCACTTAACCTCTACCTCTTAAAAGAGGGGTGCTGAGAGGCCTAATTAATGAAGTGGTCCTAAAATGCTTTTAGAATTGCTCTTGACTTCCACCTCTCCATAAATGCAGAGTGTTGGAGTAACAGTGTGACTGAAGGCGTTATGAAAGCGGGACAGAACCAGGCAAAATACAATTACAAAAGTACAAAGCTTTTAATCATAATGTCTAACTTTTCCTAGCGTATCACTCACTATCTTTTTAATTTACTGGCACAGATTCCTCCAATCACAATTATGCAAAACAGAGCCAAAAATGAGGTTGCAGGAGATGATGCAAGGCAGTGCTGAAAAAGCATTTATCTTCTAGGAAAGAAAATCCCACAGGTCTTTACCTACAGAGGTTGGGAGACCAATGTATGGCTTTGCAGCCCCATAAAACACAACAGGTTTGGCATAGGAGGCAGGACCAAGAGCTGCCTTCAGCTTCCTAACATGAATTTCTAGTCTAGGATGCTTACAGAGAGAGGTGAGGGGACTGCGCTGAGAATTCAAGCTTGCCCAACCTAACCTATGTGATAAGAGACTGCCTCCAGTCTCCAGAGCAGCAGCACCATTTATAAGTCAAGAGTCCATTTCTCTTCACGGGTACCTGCAAGAATTCTCTTTTCACTGTGGTCTGAGAGAAAAATACCCACACCCAGCCCTGCTGCCCATCCCACAGGGGACCAGTGCTGACCACATAGGGGCTACCACAGGGAGGTGCTCGACCTCTTTGAGGAGGTGGCCACTTTGTTTTCTGGAGCCCTGCAGGGAGTCCAGAAAAGGGCACAGAGCACCTGGGGTCACTACAAGAAGATCCTTGAAAGAGTAAGAGCAAAGTGAGGTTGTAAGAGCAAAACCAAGTCCCCAGTGAGCTCGGCACCTCAAGGAAACAGGCATTTCCAACACATTTCTGGCTGGAACTGTAGAACTGCTGGACCGCTTGTCCTGGTGGAAGTTAAAGCCATGAGCTCAGGCCAGCAGTTTCTGTTTGGGAGGTGATGGGTGCAGCTCAGTGAAGGCACCAGGCAGCAGCCTGGTCTTGCAACAGCTGCGGCTGCAGCACAACCCATTAGGTGACTGTTTCAGAAGGATGTGAACAGACTGCAAGTCCTGGCTTCCAACAAGTCTGCTGCTAGAACAGAGGGAAAGAAGGGAGGCCAAGGAAGTGGTCCCTACTCCTCGTTTTGTTTACAATTACCCTGAAGAACGAGGGACCAGCAGAGAAATATTTCAAGTTTTTTAAAGCTGCACACAAAAAAAGCCATGGCCAGGACACATTAAAGGGGAACTCATCAAAAACTCTATCACTGATACCTGACTGTTTGCTCCAAAGGGCCTCAGCTTATGTGTAGCAATGCTGAAATACCAACACACTACTGCTCATGGTGGATCCCCTTCTGCAGCAAAGACAATTTAAGGGCTGGAAACTTTCAGGGCCTTTTAATTTCTGGGTAGTGCCTGCTCAGGGGATTGGTGGGTTGATACTGTTCAAAAAAGAGAACAGCAGAGGTTTTTGCCCTGAAAAGAAGAAACCCCTCCAAGGCCAGCAATGAGACTACAGGAATGGTGGGGAACAAGGTGCCTCAGAGCTGTGTTGTCTGTGCTCCTGTGGAAGCATCAGGCTGGTAGACAGATACATTCTGGCTTCTCAGACAGGGAGTTAGCCAAGGACCTGGCAGCGACACATTGAGCAGAGGAGTCCTGGTGCGGTTCTGTCCCGTTCTGCTTATCGGAGCCACGCTAACGTGTGGGGAGGTGCTCTGAAGGAGATGCGTCAGGAATAAGACCAGCCGTTGAGCAATGCCAGTGTTCTAGTGCAAAATCTGCATTTTTATTAAAGACATATTTTGGAAGGCCCATTCAAAAATACATTGTGCTCAGTAAAAATTAACCATTTCCATGCTGATAATTAAGGTTACCACAGGATTTTTTTTTCTCTTTTAGAATATTTACAGCAACAATAGAAATTGTACAGAAGTTAAGAATGGAATACATGCCCAAAAAAAATTTGGTAAGGTGTACCAACAACATGATACAAAGGGTTGTATACAAACACTTTACAAATGGTTTATTAACTTGCATGAAGTCATCCTTAAATATTCAACACATTTTAAAATCAATTTGTATTCCAGGATTAAAAAGGTTAACACCACATCACATCCCTTCCACAACAGAAAGCATGGTAGATTTAAAAGTTTGTGCGCTTTAGAGTTCTAGTAGCTGTTAAAAAACGTCGGGGAGTCTTACCCATAACTTTAGAAGTTTTGAAAGCTACCTCCGCAGCCTGTTATTTTTGGAATAGTCTGTACTGGCAGATTGCAAAAAAGATCACATTTTTTCTAAACCTCATTC